TGCATCAGCTTATTCATAAAGTAACCATGTATTCAAATCCAGTATTTATAGAAATCCTATGTTTTAAAAGCTGCCCTGTAAGTTCCTCGATGTGTCGTGTTCGCAGCAGTTCCTTAGAGACAGCACCCCCACCCCCGCACGCCAGGAGCACCACGCCCGGCCTTGTGGTTTCAGGGGGTCCTGGCAGGGGTGAGAATGGTTTCGTGGCACCCAGGAAGCCAAAACAACCCCCCCCACCCCCAGCCAGGGCTCGCCGAATCACCAGGTCAGCAGTGGGGGTCCTGCTGGGGGTGGGTTGTGCTGTCCTTGGTCCTGGGGTCGACCAGAGGGGGGCAGAGGCCGTGCCAGTCCCCCCCTCGGATGGAGGGGTCAAGCGCCGCGTGTTGCGACCCGCTCAGTGGCTTCTTTGGGGAGGGCTCCCATGCGAGCGTCCTAAGGGATGAAAAAAAAGGTGGTGTCAGGCTACCGCCCTTTAGTGGCCATTGCGCAAGAGGCGCTTGTGTGCTGCGCTGTCGGTGCTGCCTGTATCCTTGAGTGCCCCGCAGGGCCCGCCGCGCCGCGCCTCTCCGCCTCTCTTGGCAGCCGCCAGAAGGCTCCCGCGGATCCGTGCCGTTGCGCCGCCCCGCCTCGGAAGCCCCATCGCGCTGTTCGGGATCCGTTCTGCCCGCCTAGCCAGACCGATCCGAGAGTTGCCTGGGCAAGGTCAGTGCGTTGACAGTTCCCGTCTTGCAGTGCCCGCTGGCCGCTGCTTTGATGTCGTCCGGGCCTGGGCTGGCGAGTGTCGCTGTCCCGCCTGAAGTGTGCGAAGTGCTTGCTGGCTAAGTTGCACGTCCCATTTTACCCGTGGTGCAGTTTTGCACGGACGGGGCAATTTCGCTCCCGAGGGTCTTCTGCCTCGGTGATCAGGACAGGCCAGCTCATCTCCTGTTTGCTTGCACGTGGCATCTCGGCGGCCTCGTGCTTCGGCCGGTGAAGGAAGAAAAGGAGGAGGAGGGAGAGACGGAGGACACAGTGGAAACCCCTAACTGCCCTCGCCCCTCCTCGCCCTCCCCCTTGCTACCTTTCGCCCCCACGAAGCCTCCAACGCTCATGGGTGGGAAACACGTCCCCGTCCACGGTCTCGCCGGCCCGGCCCCAGGCCGCGAGGCCCCAGGCCGCGAGACCCCGGGGAGGCCTCGCGTGGACAAGCAGCCGTGCGACCCCGCGCATCCGCGGAGCGTCGCGCGCCCCGGGGCCCAGCCCGCGAGGGCGTGGACGCGGACCACGCACGCCGCCCGCGAAATGGCCAGAGGGTGATGCGCCGACCCCCAATTCAGCCACGCGCAGAAGGGGGGTGGCGGGCGGGGGGAGGGCTTCGCTTCTCAGAAGCACCCCTGCTCCTCAGAAGGCGCGGGCCTTCTCCTCTGTGGATGCAAGGCCCGGCGCCTGCTCAGAAGCAGCCTCCTTCTGAGAGGCCCTCCCCCCTCCTTCCCGCCCCTTGTGCGCGCCGCCAACCAATCGCCCATTCATCGCCGATCGAGGTTCAAGAGCCCGCCCCGTCCTTGAACGCGCGCATTCGCCATCGGCGGACAGTCGCCCATGCATCGGTGATGTATGGATCATCAGGTCAAGCTCGAGGTCCCACCCTCCTGAGCCAATTCCCCCCCTATTTCGGAAACTGGAGCATATACATTACTGGTGGCGGTCGGTTTTTCAATCCCAGGATTTTTTTGAGGGTCGGGGACGACGTCGGGGTGGTGTGGTGTATACTTGTTCCCCCTTGTTGAATGCATACACCAGGATCCCGCATACACCAGCACACCAGGATCCGCTTCCCCGTGCGAGCTTCAAGGTGAGGCCAGACAAAGGCGTCGGTGTATGGAGTTCAGTTCCCTACTACTGCTGCCCCTCCTTGCCCTGCCTCCCTCGACAAGTCAGGCAGGACAGAAACACACAGACACCATGAATCGCCGGTTCCCACGAACAACTGTGGGAAACTATGGGCAGCGGGGGGGGGGAAGACAGACACCCAGAACGTGTGGGAAGATATGGAAAATCTGGTCCTCTGTGTCTGTGTATCTGTGTGTCCCGGTTCCCCTGCGACGAGCCCCCCCCCCCAGGACTACTCGCGGGGCGCTCGGCGCGCGCTCCGCGGGCGGCGAGAGGAGCGCCAGGGGCACGGGCGGCGGGGGGGCGCGGGCGGCGGCGGCGGCGTCCCGCGCGGCGCGGGGCGCGTGAGGCTCGGAGGAGGAGGAGGAGGAGGAGGAGGAGGGAGGAGGAGGACGAGGCGGAGGAGGAGGAGAGGAGGGGGAGGAGGAGGAGGAGGGAAGGAAGGAGGAGAGAGGAGGAGGAGAGGAGGAGGAGGAGGAGGAGGGAGGAGGAGGAGGAGGGAGGAGGGGAGAGGCTCGGAGACCTCGAGGGCGTTCAGGAGAGAGATCCGGGGCGGCAGTTCCGGTTCGCGTCTCGGTTCTCGCTGTGGAATATCCACTTTCGGGGGCCACATGCGAACCCTACCCCTACCCCCCACGATTTCTGAGGGGGAGGGGGGGGTCACTTCGTTCGGGAGCTCCCGAGCGAAGTGAACCCCACCCTCCCCCTCCGAAATCGTGGGGGGTAGTGGTAGGGTTCGCATGTGGCCCCCTACCGAGGGCGTGTTCGAAGATCCGGGACAGTTCTCGGTTCTCGTTGTCGAATATCCGTTTGTTCACAGCACACTTCTTCACGTTTCGCGCATGCCCACCAGCGCAGTCAGGAACCCTGCCCATGAGAGCTGACGGGGAAAAGAGCACGTGAGCCAAAAGCGGGCAAGCCCTGGTGAACAGAGAGAGCTCGAGAACAAAGGGGGTTGCCTCGGAGGGCCTCGTCGAGCCATCCCCGTGGCCCGCGTGGGGGCGAGGGAGGGTGTGGAGGAGGGGGAGGAATAGGAGGAGGAGGAGGAGGAGGAGGAGGAGGAGGAATATGCGGAGGAGGAGGCGGCAAGACGGCGGCGCAGCTCCTCGGGACCCATGTCGCGGGGGGGCTCTGGACGCAGGCGCGCCTCTTCGCGGCACGGTCCGTCGACTCGCCCTTGTGTCAGGTCTGCAAGGCGGAGCCAGGAGACGAGGGGCATCGTTTGTTCAGATGTGAATTCAGTGCTGTGGTCAGACGTGACCTTGACCTGGACGACGTCACGCGTGCAGGCAGAGAATGCGAGCATCAGGATCCCCTCCTCCACAGGGGCCTCGTGGACTCTTTGCTTGACCTCCAACCTCCCCCGAGGCTCGATGGGCTCGTGGAGTATGACGGGCCCATGGTAGGAGGGGCCCTCTCAGGTCTCGTTGGCATCGACGGGTCCTGTTTGGCGCCCAATTTTCCTCTGGCTTCTAGGGCTGGTTGGTCTTGCGTGAAGATAGACCGCCACGGGAACTCGGAAGGAGCCATATTTGGGCCCCACCCTGGAGTCTTGCAGGAGATCGGAGCAGCAGAGCTCTGGGCCTTTTATATGTGTCTGTGCAATTGTGTAGGCGAGGTTACGGTTGTCACCGATTGTAAGTCTCTCATCGATGGTGTGGCGGCAGGGCCTGAAGCGTGCTGCCGTCCCACGAGGGTGTATTCTGAAGTTTGGTGCAAGATTTGGTTCAAGATCGACGAGATAGGTCTTGAGCAGATTCACTTGCACTGGATGCGGAGCCACGAATCCTGGACTCATGCACAGGCACAAGGGGTCCCGTGGCTTCACTACAGAGCTAATAATCTAGCTGACGTGTATGCCAAGAAAGGCGCGAGGTTGCACCCCTTTTCTGAGGAGGTAGAGGAGTTGAGGCCGCTTTTGTGGTGGTCGGCCTATTTCGTTGCCCTCTACTCTGGCAGGATCCTCGCGCACCTCGCCGCCTCTTCTTTCCCCGATGCTCTTAAGCCTCGGCTCCGTCGCGCTTTCGATCCGCTCGAGCTCGTGTCGGATCCCAAAGGGCATCAGGCTAAGTGCTTTGGAGGCCGCTGGGTGTGTTTGTGTTGTGGCCGCAGCTGCTCGACTCGAGCCAGGCTGGTGCACGACAGGTGCCCTGGTGTCATGGCTAAGCTCGCTCAGGCACATTGGTCTCACAGGCTCCTGTGCTCGGGGGGTCCTGGCGGTCTTGTGTGGTGCTCGTTGTGCGGGGCGTATGCCAGACGGCAGATTTTGGCCCTCGCGGACCGCTGCGCAGGACACCCCGCGGATGGCCGAGCACGGGCCTTGCGACAATTAAAGCAGGGGCTGGACCCCTCCTCCAAGCGGCCCATCCCCCGCTCTTGCCCCGTGCAGCCCCCTCTCCATCCCCGCCGCGTCGGGTGGGCTCGGGGGCTGTATGAGGTTTTGGGCGAGAGGCGGGACATCCGCTGGGAGGATTCGGAGTAGGGAGCCTGGAGTGTGTAGGCGGTCCTGAGGCTTCCTCGGCGTGTAGTGGAGGCGTTCGGATTGCGGTGGTTCCCTCGGGGGCCGCCGTCAGAGGAGCGGAAAGCGGAAAGAGAGAGGAGGAGGAGGAGGAGGAGGAGTAAGAGGAGGAGGCGGAGGAGGAGGGGGGAGTCGGAATCGGAGTCGGAGTCGGAGTCGGAGGAGGAGGACGAGGAGGAGGACAACGACGACGACCACGACAACGATGACGACGAGGAAAAGGAGGAAAAGGAACAGGACAACGATGAGGGCAAGGACAAGGACGAGGAGGAATGGGAGCGGTTCATCATCCATCGACATAGGGGAGACAACATCTAGCTGCAACTGTCTATGAGCGACACGTGCGGCTATCTTGGTATACACTGGATTATCCCGTTGCAGGGAGCTGTGTCCCTATACTCGCTGTGTGCGCGCGTGCAAGCCTAATGCTCAAGCAGGGCAGGCCAAGCTAAACGTAATCTTCGAGGAGGCATGAAAACATCTCGGCGTACTCAGTTGTGATCGTTCTCGTGGGGACGTCGTAATAGTTCTCGTGCTTCTGCATTGCGTCATTCAGTGCTACTTCCAATCGCCCCAGCTGTACTGGTGTGCGTGGTTGGTCCCAAACCTGGGACTAGGTTGTGAGCTCCATGGCAATGTCGAGCGCCTCGAAATAGTTGTGGCTCTGCGTGAGCCCCAGTCGAATAGCGTCAACGATCTCCTCGGTTAGCTTGTAGGAGTCCGCAACGTTCACATCGTTCTCCAGAAGCCGAAAGGCTTGAGCGAGCCTCGGGAGTGGCGCCACCGCGTCCTTCTTCTCGTCGGGAGACGTCTCGGGGAAGGCCTCGGCTGCAAGAGAGTCCATATTATTTGTCAGCAACTCCATGTCCTTTGTCAGCGCATCGATCTTGGGCTCCATCGCCAAAGGGCCCTCCTCCTGTGGCATCGGCTTGAACTCGAGTTCCTTCAGCAGTACCATGTCGAGGCCGGGGGGAGGGCCCAGTGCCGCACCAGCATGAAAGGCTCGGCACCGCTTTCTGTGTCTTTTCGCCTGTGCGCGCGAGCGCCGCACGCCAAGAGGCGAGGCGCTACAGCGTTCAGCATGCTCCGCAGGTGCAGGTCGATGCTCATCGCGACATTCATGAACTGGTGCAGCAGCAGTGGCCGCCTGCGAACGAGGACGAGGACAGAGCCCTCAAGATCGCAACTTGGAACCTCCTTGGGACTCTTTGTTTGGGGGCCCTCTTGGAGCCCTCTTTGGGGTCCTTTGGGGTCTCTGAAGGAATTTTTGGGGCCATCTCCTTGGCGGCCATCGATCAAAAGGGAGGGGGCCCAATTTGCCTCCCCCCACGGGGCTATCATCATCGCCTCTTGGGGCGCTCTTGGGACGCTCTTGGGTCGATCTTGTGCGCTCTCACGGCCGTTTTGGGGGCCTCTTGGGGCTCTCTTGGGACATCTTGGGGCAATCTTGAGGCTTCAAAAGCGCATCGGAAACGAAATGGCGAGGAGGCACACATCATTGATTGTCTTTCGGTATTTGAAAGATTTTGGCCTTTTGGGGGGTCCTGAGGGGGCTCCGAGAGCATTTGAAGCCGTCTTAGGTCCCTGGTCGGGCTTCTTGGAGCCGTGGTCGGAAGCTATCTTGATTTATTGGAGGCTATCTTGCAGCGTCACAGGCTCTCTTGGAGCCATCTTGGGCAACCTTGGGCGCCCTGACGCCTCGCGGCCCGCCAGAGACAACCTCCGGGAGGGGAGAGGGAGGGGTCTCCTCCCCGAAGGGACGATGGTTTTTGGAAGAGGAAAGACATGGATCGCTAGACCATCTCAGCCCAAAGGGCTGGTGGGATTGCTGTCGATCCCCCCCCGCACGCTGGTGCACATGGTGTGGATTTTTGTTCCGTTAAAAAAGAAAAAAAATAAAAAAAAAAAAAAAAAAAAAAAGAAAAAAAAAAATAAAGCCGCCCACTTCGGGCCTCGCCGCTGTTCCCATTGTCAGGAGCCTCCCTGCGCAAAACTGTGCTACGCCCCCCCCCCCAACAACAACAACAACAACAACAACAACAACAACAACAACAACAACAACAACAACAACAACAACAACACAACAACAACAACAACAACAACAACAACAACAACAACAATCACTTTACCCGAACGCTCAGTGTTCTCACCAGTGCCAGGGTTTTCATGCGACGCCAGCCAATACCCCCACTTTGTGGGGGGCAGTGCAAGCTCTACCAAATATCCACACGACTCTTCGCCACCACCCACACCCAGCTTCCCGCCCTATGACGTTCGGACACTTCACTTCGTGGCCTGCGGACGACCGTGGCTACTACACTGGCGTGGTAGGCGCGCGAACCCCGTTGCAAGAGCGTGCGAAAGTAGCTCGCGCGAGCTCATGTAACATAAATGTTGGAAAACCATTGGTTTTTTTAGGATTCGGACAGCGCGCGCGGGTAGAAATTTTGAAAAGTCGTGCAGGTGTTTTTCGAGGACCTACGGTGCGATTCGTGTGATTGTATGATGCGCGGTGCTAAAATTCTTAAGAAGCCCAATGGTTTTTTGAGATTTCGGCGTGCGCGCGCGAAGAAAAAACGAATGTGTCCCGCATGGTATTATTTGACAGGGATGATGGCCCTGGCAGGTGCGCAACCGTTGTCGCAGAAGTTCGAAAAAGTTGCTCGCAAAAGCCCGTTTGACAGAAATGTTTAAAAAGTGTTGGTTTTCCTACGGATCCGCAAGAGCGCGCGGGATGAGATTTTGACATTTTTTTGTTGAAAAAACCATTGGTTTTTTGATGTTTTTATGTTAAAATCGCTGCGAACACTAAGGTTTTGGAAGGATTTCGTCTTGCGCGCGCGAATGTCCACATTACCTATGAATTTTTTTTTTTGCAAGGGGATTCATTGAAAATTTGATTAGATGTTTGTAGGAACATCGAAAGAGTGTTCACACACACATAGTATCTTGTGGCGAGGGAAAGCGGATTACAACAAAACAACCGGATCCTGTAAACACCCTCTTTTCTGAGGCTTCCTCACGAAAATGATGAAAATGTAGCTGCGGCCTAGGCGGCGCAGGGGGGGCGCGCACCAGGGGGCCCAACAATAATTATTCTTTAGAATAAATAATGTTCAACAACAACAACAACAAACAGTTTGAGACTGCTCACTCTCATCTGCTCGAGTGCCATTCAACACGTATATCCAACACCCTCGATACCCGCCCTCTTCGACTCCGATCGTACCCCCTTGGTCCCTTAGTGGTCTGTTTGTTTCTGACTTACCAGAAACGTGTACTTCGTGCAGCCCCTAAGGTAGGGGGAGAAAGGACGAATGGGAGAAGGATGGAGCACGAGAGAGATCAGCAGAAGGGGGGCTCAAAGCAGAAAGTACGTGGCAGAACCAGACGGGCAGATCGGGCGGGTAGAGCCTATCGGGCGTGTCGGAAAGGCGGGCCCGGGCGGCCAGGTCGAGCAGGCGGGTTGCTGAAGCGTGCGTCCTGCACGAATCGCGAGGAAGTCTCTAGCGATAAAACGCGATTCCCAGATGAATCGTGAGGAAATCCTCAGCGAGAGCGTTATTCCTAAGTGTCGAGGGGGCGGCGTCTGGATAAATTGCAGGGGAGTCCCACGCGAGAGCGCGATTCCTGCATAAATTGTGAAGACGTCCCGCGCGAGAGCGCGATTTGGGGAAACATTGTGAAGAAGTATCGTGCGGCAGCCGTTGTTGTCGCAGTTCTGGGCCCAACAATGCAGTGTGTTAACTCCTTACTTTCGCTTGAAAAAAACCCAGGGTGCGAGTCTCGGGAGGAACACTTCAATCGACAAAATATGAAAAGGTTTCCGGAGGGGAGAAAAACAATAATTCAACAACAACAACAACAATCACTTTACCCGAACGCTCAGTGTTCTCACCTGTGCCAGGGTTTTCATGCGACGCCAGCCAATACCCCCACTTTGTGGGGGGGCAGTGCAAGCTCTACCAAATATCCACACGACTCTTCGCCACCACCCACACCCAGCTTCCCGCCCAATGACGTTCGGACACTTCACTTCGTGGCCTGCGGACGACCGTGGCTACTACACTGGCGTGGAGTACACACCCACAGAAGTTGTTAAGCCTACGTTCGTACACCCACAGAAGTGGTTAAGCCTTGTTAACCCACAGAAGTTGTTAAGCCTTCCACAGAACATCTGTTGCATATGATGCATATGGTACATGATACACATGATACACATGATACATGTAACTCACAAGATAGTTTGACACAACTTTAGGGCAAATTCCGAGGATTGGGAACCCCGTTGCAAGAGCGTGCGAAAGTAGCTCGCGCGAGCTCATGTAACATAAATGTTGGAAACCCATTGGTTTTTTTAGGATTCGGACAGCGCGCGCGGGTAGAAATTTTGAAAAGTCGTGCAGGTGTTTTTCGAGGACCTACGGTGCGATTCGTGTGATTTTATGATGCGCGGTGCTAAAATTCTTAAGAAACCCAATGGTTTTTGGAGATTTCGGCGTGCGCGCGCGAAGGAAAAACGAATGTGTCCCGCATGGTATTATTTGACAGGGATGATGGCCCTGGCAGGTGCGCAACCGTTGTCGCAGAAGTTCGAAAAAGTTGCTCGCAAAAGCCCGTTTGACAGAAATGTTTAAAAAGTGTTGTTTTCCTACGAATCCGCAAGAGCGCGCGGGATGAGATTTTGACATTTTTTTGTTGAAAAACCATTGGTTTTTTGATGTTTTTATGTTAAAATCGCTCCGAACACTAAGCTTTTGGAAGGATTTCGTCTTGCGCGCGCGAATGTCCACTTTACCTTATTTTTGCAAGGGATTCTTGAAATTTGATTATATTAGAACAAGAAATGTCATTTTTAGTGTTTTTTGCAAGGGAAAGCGGATACAACAAAACAACCGGATCTGGTACACATCGTTTTGCCTGAGGCTTCCTCACGAAAATGATGAAAATGTAGCTGCGGCCTAGGCGGCGCAGGGGGGGCGCGCACCAGGGGCCCAACAATAATTATTCTTTAGAAAAATAATGTTCAACAACAACAACAACAATTACTAGCACGTGGGGACACTCCGTTCTCACCAGTGCCAGGGTTTTCATAGGAGGCGGGCAATACCCCCACTTTGTGGGGGGGCCGGTTCAAGCTCTACCAAATTTCCAAACGACTCTTCGCCACCACCCACACCCAGCTTCCCGCCCTATGACGTTCGGACACTTCACTTCGTGGCATGCGGACGACCGTGGCTACTATTCAGGGCCCCGCGGCCGACGACGACGGCGTGCGCGCGCGAAGAAAAAACGAATGTGTCCAATATGGTATTATTTGACAGGGATGATGGCCCTGGCATGCGCGCAACCGTTGTTGCAGAAGTTCGAAGCACGTGAAAAAGTTGCTCGCAAGAGCCCGTTTGACAGAAATGTTGAAAAAATATTGGGTTTCCTCAGAAATCCGCAAGAGCGCGCAAGATGAATTTTGAAACTGTTTTTTTTGAAAAACCATTGGGTTTTTCATGTTTTTATGTTAAAATCGCTACGAAAACTAAGGTTTTGGAAGGATTTCATCTTGCGCGCGCGAGTGTGCACTTCGTGTCATTTTTTGCAAAGGATTCTTGAAGTTTGGTTATGTTAGAACAAGAAATTTCATTTTATAGTGTTTTTTGCAAGGGAAAGCGGCGTACAACAAAACAACCGGATCTGGATACATCGTTTTCCTGAGACTTCCTCACGAAAATGATGAAAATGTGGCTGCGGCCTAGGCGCGGCGGGGGGGTCGCGCACCAGGGGTCCCAACAATAATTATTCTTTAGAATTAATAATGTTCAACAACAACAACAACAACAACAACAACAACAACAACAACAAAAACAACAACAACAACAACAATAACAACAACAACAACAACAACAGCAACAGCAACAACAACAACAACAGCAACAACAACAACAACAATGCGAGCAATGGCACACAAAATAGAATAACAACGCAACAACAACCCGCACTGCGGAACCCTTCTTCAGCCACGCAGCCAGGGACAGTGGATGACCGTTCGGCCCCCTCTTATAACATAAAATCCGATTGTGTGAAACAAGATAGGTGGAATCAGGGAACATGGCATAAGATAAGATAAGACTTGGCCTTGCACGTAGTCTCGGGAGTCGACCGCCGACCGCAGAGTGCCAGAACTCGGCGGGAGCCTAAGTACCCCGCACGATCGCGTTCTGTCTAGTATGTACATACGAGATGGCGCGCAACGCGCAACGTGCGGCCTGTCGTGCTAGTGTGCACACAGGCAGACGTAGAGTGTGAAACCCTCGGGGGCGGGGGGATGCTGCTGGAGGAGTGGGTGAGGAGGAGCAGGAGGGGGAGGAGGATGATCCCCTCCCGAGCGATGAGGGAAGCGTCTGATGAACAAACGACCCTCAACTGGAGAGACGGAAGTTGCAATGCTGGGCATGGAACTCACCACCACCACACGGCTCACACAGGCACGCGACGCATCCAGCTCACAGATGGAAGACCTGAACAAATCGGAAGCTGCGTGGTCTCTGCGAGCAGACTGGCAACAGCTGGCCGGTGCGCGAAGGTTACGTACCACGGAATGCCCGAAGATCCCGGCCCCCCTGCAACAAAAAAAACTGCCACCGCCCCGGAGGAGGAGGAGGAGGGGGAGGAGGAGGAGGAGGAGGGGGAGGAGGAGGAGGAGGAGGAGGAGGAGAGGTGCGGCGGGGGCGCGCCTTCCCGACGCTGGCCCGGCGCCTCGCCAGCGACATCCTGGCGCGGGCCTGCCCAGGCCCGGCGTCCGCGAGCCCGAGGCTAAGCCGCCGGGCGCTCTGCGCGATGCTGGCGCGCACGGCCTGGCCGCGAGACGGCGGCGCCGACGGCGAAGATGACGACGACGACGACGACGACGACGACGACGACGACGACGACGACGACGACGACGACGACCGACGGCGACGTCGTTGACGACGACGGCGACGACGACGGCGGCGACGACGACGGCGACGGCGACGGCGACGGCGACGTCGGCCGCGGCGGCGGCGGATGCGGGCGGCGGCGACGAAGCCGACGCTCCCCGCCCTCTTCCTTCAACTCCCCCTCGAACTCCTCCTGCTCCCCCTCCTCCCCCTCCTCCCCGCTCCTTGGACACCTGCATCATCTCCTCATCTTCTCCCATCCAACTTCTCTAGAGCGGAATGTGGCACGCGTGAAGCTCTCTGGTATTGAGGGATATTGTTGATGATAGGTCCTTTTCCTCAGGACACAGCGACAGCGTCTTATTGATTGCCTTCGTCAGTGATGTTGCCAGACAAGAACGTGTTGATAATGAGAGCCGAAACTCCCGTGCAATAGCCAGATGGTCGCGAACACTGCGACCGCGCTGAAGAAGCTGAGGCCGATGCGCGGGCGCGCTGCTGAAGGCACAATACACCCGCTCTGCGATGATGGGTCTGGCCCTAGAGACCATGCTGTGGGCCGCCTCCTGCAGCCCGCCCACTTCAAGGCGCGTCATGCTGAGGAACGATCCCGCGAAGGCGGTTATACTCGGAGAGACCTCCAGCGTCCTGGCCATGGGCAGCACCCTCTCGGACACTTGTTCGATCACCTTGCCGATGATCTCCAACTTGGCGTCGTAGTCGCTGACTGGGCCCTGGAAGCGGCAGGGCATTTGTTACGCCGCTATCCCGGAGCATCTGTTTCTTGCAACTGAAAATCATGAAGAAAAGCTCTCGCCAGAATGGGCCTTAACGGGCGAAATAAACAACACAATGTCTAAAACGGCAACGAACATTGAATTGAACGAGCGAGAAAACGAAGACGGAAACAGAAACAGGATGCGGCGGGAGGTTCAGGGGGTCCGAGGCACGTTCGGAACCAATTCGAACATTGACCAGAACCGAACAAACAACAAAAAACTACCATACACTCGTCCCCCGTGGTGCCGATTGGTTGGTCCATGCAGGCTGGACTACTCGAGGCTCTCATGGCCCAGGACGCTCGGTTCGAGCATGCAGCCGTCCCCCACCCCCTCCTTGGCTCCTCCTGCCTCTTCAGCACCCCGCCCCTGCTCGTCGGCGGAATCGTGCTGCCGACTTGTTGGTTCCGGCGACCAGCTCCGCAATGCGAGGCCATGATGGCCCAGGACGCTCGGTGTGATCGTGAAGGTGTCCGCCTCCGCTCCTGGACTCCTCCTCCCTCCCTCCCTCCCTCCGTCCTCCATGGAAACCGACGCCGCCGACCGGCATCATCGCGATTGCCTGCTCGATGCACTTCCCCTTCTGTCTGTGTCCGGGCCCGTGCAGTGGTAGTTCGCACGGTGCTTTGCTTGATGGATGTTGTCTCTCCCAGGAGGCGCTGCGTATAAAAGGTTTCTCGTGCCTGCGCGCGCCATCCGCCCGCGGGCCCTCTCGTGTCCGCGCGGGCGGTACTGGCGACCCGCCGATTGCTCTCACTGGGCGCTTCGCCCCGTCGTGCCCCGTGCGAGGCTCGAGCTGCGGCGCTCCAGCGCAGCTCCTCGTAACTTCACATGGCCAATCCGGCAGAGGGAAACAAGTACTGAACACTCCCCCTCCCCCCCAAACTCAACGTTGGCACGCGCGGGGGCGACTGCGGTCGAAGCGCAACTCATCAGGCCCGCCGCCAACTTCGAGCATTGGGGGGAGGGGGAAGCGTTGACGGATGAATGTGGCATGTGTTCGCTAATTTGTTCCGAGGCCTGTCGTTTGTCGACCCGCTTGATGGCAATGTGCTGTGGTGTTGCGGGCCGTTGCCTGCCTGCCTCCTCTGATTCGGCACGAGGCCCGCGACGGAAGCTCGTGTTGGTCCATCCTTGTTTTTTCTCTGCTCGGCGCGGTCAGCGGCGCGCGGCAGGCAGTCAGTTCGGAGGGGGGGATGCGGGGCAGGGAGGACGCGGGAGAAGGAGGACGACAAGGTCGATGAGGTCGAGGAGGAAGGCGGGGATCCTCCCCAGACATCCGACGCCTCGATTTTTTCGAGACACGGGCCCCCGACCTCCCGACCACTTCCCCGGGACCGGTTTTCCACCCCGAGTCGTTTTTTCACGGTCCCGAGGCCAGGCGAGGGCCCCGAGAGGCCGACAACGACGAAAAACCTCCGTCCCGATTCTTGTTCGAGACGCCCGAGGTCTGGGCCCTCCTCCACGGAGGAGGAGGAGGAGGAGGAGGAGGAGGAGGAGGAGGAGGAAGAAGCAGCAGCAGCAGGGGAGACTCTGGGAAGAGCAGGAGCAGCAGCAGCAGCAGCAGCAGCAGCAGAAGCAGCAGCAGCAGCAGGGGCGACCGCCGCCCTCGAGGGCAGGCAGGTCACGCCGCGCAGGGCGCCGCGCCGCTCAGCGCGGCGCCGGCGTGCTCCCGCGCCTCGCCGCGGGCGCTCCGCGGGGACTCCAGCGCCCGGGAGTCCGGGTGCTCCAGCTCGAACCTCGGATTGGCGGCGAGCGGTTAGCGGTCGAAGAACGGTGTAACATAAACTTGTTCGCTGTCGGGGGCGCCTGTCCCAGGGCGGCTGGAAAGTTTCTACCCTTACGGTGGCACCGTAGGGGTACAAACTTTCCAGCCGCCCAGGGGCAGGTGTCCCCGACGGCGGAATTTTCATTTCATACCGTTCTTCGCTCGCTGAAGCGAGGGGGGGAAGTGAGAAGGAGAAGGCCTTCTCGGAAGGCGGCGGGACTTCTCAGAAGCCCTCCGCGCCTTCTGAAGAGTTTTTGTCTGTCTTCGGAGAAGGCTTAAAAAAACTTCTCAGAAGGCCGGGGGACTTCCGAGCCTTCTGAGAAGGCCCGCCCCTCCTCACTTCCCCCCCTCGCTCGCCGCCGATTGGAAGGGGGTGGCGGGGGAAAGGGGGGGAGGGACCCAGACATCGGGCGTCACGAAAAAATCGGGATGGCGGTTTTTCGCCATTGTCGGCCTCTCGGGGCCCTCGCCCAGGCCTCGGGACCGGCAAGAAACGACTCCGGGGTGGAAAACCGGTCCCGGGGACGTGGTCGGGAGGTCGGGGCCCGTGTCTCGAAAAAATCGAGACGTCGGATGTCTGGGGAGGGGGAACGGAATGGATGGGGGAGGCGGAAAGGGGGAGATGGGAAAGGAGAGGGAGGGAGGGAGGGAGAGGGGGAGGGCGACAGGGAGGGAGAGAGGAGAGGGGAGTGAAAGCAAAAATGGTTCGCTCGCCCCATATGTGGCATCCTACCCGTCCCACCCATCCCTTCCCATTGCGCTGATTTTCCTCCAGCTGCCGACAGGTGACATTGAGGACCTGTACCCGCAAAAAGACTCCATCGTGCTAAGCGCAATCAGGGAAGAGGAGTTAGTTACATTGGAGCAAGAGCACGAGGATGAGGATGAGAGAGAAGGAGTACGAAGAGGAACATCAGCAGCAGGAGCAACAGTGCGAGCAGCGGAAGGAGCTGGAGAGCCGGAGATAACCGGATGAGGGGAAAGCCTCGGGAAGAGAACGACGAGGAAAGACTCGGATCCAGAATCGTGGCCCGCGAGAGGCGAGGAGCGCCAGTCGAAACGATGAGAGCAAAGTGCCGATCCGAAAATGATAGCGACGCTGCAGCGGGAAGAACATTTAGAAACACCGAAGGAATTGTCCTGAAGGCATACGATGTATGCGTAATAGACGACCTCATGGTATCCTATACGCTGTTAAAGCAGCATGCGATGGAACAACTGGCACGTTCGGGCTGGATCCGGGCAGAGAGGAGAGTACTACTAGTGTTGAGCAATTGTAGAGTGGAGCAGTGGGAGCATAATGATGAGAAATGGGAGGGGGGAAAGGGAGGAAGGGAGGGTAAGGAAATAAGACAGAAGAGAGAGAGAGAGAGAGAAAGAGAGAGAAAGAGAGAAAAACCAGAGAGAGAGATCGAGAGAAAGCAAGAGAGAGAGAGGTGTGTATATACATGTATATATAATGAGAGAGAGAGAGAGAGAGAGAGAGAGAGAGAGACAAACAAAAAGAGAACGAGAGAGAGAGAGAAAAACAGAGAGAGGGAGAGAAAAAGAGAAAGTAGGGAGGGATTGTAGGGTCCGATTAACAGACTCTCTTAAAGAGGGGCTAATCATCTACACGCGCGCCAAAATGGCAACTTGAATCAACGACGTAATCTTCTACACACCACATATAATCAACAACGTAATCTGCTACACGCCACATATAATCAACAACGTAATCTGCTACACGCCACATATAATCAACACCGTAATCTTCTACACGCCACAGATAATCAACAACGTAATCTGCTACACGCCACATATAATCAACACCGTAATCCTCTACACGGCGGAATTAACGATTAGGCCTCCAAGAGGGCTTCAAGAGAGCCCCAAGAGCGCCCGATGAATGCTTCAGGAGGGCCCAAGAGGCTTCCAATATGGCCAGATGGCCCCAAAAGAGTCCAGTCAGAACGAGCCGTGTGGCATAACGGACTTGTGGTTTCAAGGCTTCGGAGCTCCATCTTGAAGTATTAGTAAAGTCCGGTTGGAATCTTTCCGGGGCCCTCTTGGAGATTTCGCAAGGCCCCCTGGGAAGCCTCTTGGCCACTTCGAGCCTGTTTGGGGGCCCTTGTAGGTTTGAAGGCCCTCAAGGCTTCCAGGAAGTCCCCAAGAGCGCCTCATGGCCCCAAGAGGGCCCCTAAGAGAGCACTAATAGGCTATAGGGCCCAAGCCTCCAACATGGCCCCAGGAGATCCCCGAAATGGCCCCGAGAGGCCTTCAGGACGCTCTCAGAGCGAGAGATCAAAGTGAGGGTGACGAACGGTCTTACAGTAATGCGATGTCCCTGGGCGCGTGAGTGGCCGTTGGTTTCTGACGCCGCTCGAACCGTTCGACTTCGATCGGGCAGCGGAGGCCCGGTATTTGCGTTTTCCTTGTGGCGAAAGCCTTCCCTGGATAGAAACCTGGAAACGATTCCCCCAGCCCCGACCAACGCCCCCCAAGAGGGCCCTCGAGGGCCACGGCCCGGCGTGCTACACGCGAAGCGTGGGAATGCGATTTGGTGAAATCCGCGAGAGATTGCACGTGCAGAGATGCCCGAGACTTCCCCGAGACGGCCCAGACGGTGGAGCCCCCCATGGGGCCACGAAGTGCACCGGGGCAAGGAATGCGCCGCCGCTGGCGGCCTTCAATCTTGAACGCCCGCACGAGTCAAGCCTTCGTTTCAGCAATGGGACGCCGTGGTGAACAAGTCTAATGATTCCAGAGCTCGTCCAACACATCAGGCCGAAACTCAATCTGGCCCTGGGCAGCCTGGGCATCGTCGGCCGCGTCGGCGCCGCAGTTCAGATTACGATGCACTTAGAAAACGATATCTTGCCATGGGGATGGCGCTCGGCAAAAGGCGCACTCAGCTAACGCGCGATGACTCGCCAAGAAAAAGAAAGCAGCCACCCACTCATGGAATGCGTTTCCCGCTAGGTCGCAAAGAAGCGCGTCAGGAAAAGATGCTAAAACCTCCATGGCGTTGTGCCCATGGCCGAAATGAATGCCTTGCTGCAAGAAGGCCTCGACACCTGTGAGTAAGCGGCACTTGTCTGAAATAAAATGCCGCGTGGCTGGGGTGAGGGTCCCTTCCTCAACATTCCTCCCCATCGATTGGGCGAGATTGACCACTCTCCGTGGCCTGTGCGGGATCCCCAGGTTGAATTCATATCGGAGCACCTCAAACTCTCTGGGCAACACTTTCCGCAAAGTGGGAAACAACATCTGGAGCTCTGCAGATGGCACCGCGCTCTCCCACCACTCGCTGCCACTCGAACGACAATATGATATGTGGCGTGTCGTCCACCTCGCCCTCTTGCCGGCAGAGACTGCGTCTCTTAAGGAAATGATTTCAAGTTGCTTACATTGTTCCACGTACCGCTGGATCACCGGATGACTGTCAGGCAACAAGGTGCGGCCGTAATTCAAGTCCACGTACTTGCAGGAAGCGCACAGGTCGATGACGTCCTGAGGTTGGAACCGCAATTGCAATTTGCAAGCTCACACTGGATGGAAACATGAGAAATGAGGGAGAAGGAAGATGGGCCGATGAGAGTGTGGAGCGTGCGTGTGTGTGTGTGCGTGTGTGTGCGTGTGTGTGTGCACGTGTGTGCACGTGTGTGTGTGTGTGCGTGTGTGTGTGTGCGTGTGTGTGTGTGTGTGCGAGTGCGCGTGCGCGTGCGTGTCTGTGTGCGCGCGTGTGGCGGGAGGGAGGGCTCGGGATTGCAGCGCGGACCACGGGGTCCTGCAGGATGGCGTCCACCGCCATTGGAGAAATGCCGTTCAACCTGCTCTTGGGGAGCGCGTGGATCCAAGTTCTCGGGCGCGCGATCGGGAAGCCAAAATCTGCGGGGTCTAATTGAAAAACAGTGCAATGAAGCCCAAGGGCATTGAGATCAGCAATGCACTTGTCCAACGGGCTCGGGGTGCCGAACTGCAGCCCCCTGACATTCTCTAAAATCAGAGCCTTCATCGCGGGGTAATGCTTTTTGACGTATTCGACGATGCCTTCTTTGAAGACGGTGCCCGTCTTGTGGGATGCCCCAGAATCTTGCGCTAGATTCCTACGGTGCCCCGTCGATGCATTGTTTATCTGGCTCACGTCTTGGCAGGGGAAGCCAGCGATCAGCCAATCGACATCATCAACCCGTCTGGGGTCGCCACTGATAAGGTCAATCGGGCCCTCGCACTCAGAGCCTAACGGAGCCCCAAATTGCCTGCAGTCCTCACACAGCTGCATGGAAGCACTTGCGCCAGAAAAGCGGGCCATCTGCTGTATGAAGCTCTGCTTCTTCTTATCAATCTCGGCAGAAAAGCAATGTTTCAAAACAGGCTGATCCAACTGCCAGGCAGACCTGAAAGATTCGCACACAGCGGCCATTGCAATGATGGGTGAATCAGTTCCAGAGCAGGCGGTTCCTGCAGTAATCAAAGGGTTCGCCTTGATGAACGCTTCCCACACCCTCCGACTCTCGGGGTCTGCGGTGATCAACACAGGATGCAACATATCCACTAAAAGCGCGTCGCCGTTATCAAGGAACCCCTGAGACAGGCAACGAAAAGCACGGGGGCCATCGGCCGCCGACGAGGCATCGATACGGGGCTTTCGGACTGGAGTCGGCATCCAAAGTGATCTGAAATCACTGTAATCTGAAACGCCTTGAGCCCCTACGCCAACAGACGCGTCGCACCACCAGGCGCGTCGCTAGCGCCGCATCAACAGACGTGTCGCACCAGGCACGCCGCACCACCAGACGTGTCTGGAATGCACAAACAGACGTGTCGCACCACCAGACGCGTCGTTAGCGCGGGCCCGGCGTTTCGCCTGAGACTTCCTCGCCACTCATGTCCTGGAAGCTTGAAAACTCCAACAATGACTGATGATGAGGAGGAGGACGAGGTCATCAGACGAGTGCTTCATAGCTACTGTAGCTACTTCAATTACGTACCC